TAAAGTGAAAATATTAGAACAATACACTCAAACGGTGAGTTTATCAATTTTCTCTTTTAAATAATTAGGTGAGGTATTATTTTAGTCTTTTATTTTCTCTTTATTAATTAAATAGTAATAATTTATTTTTAAATAAGTAAGTGATATAAATAATATTTTTTACCATATTAAGTAATATCTTTTATTTGTTTTCCTAAATGTATTGGCTCATTGAAAAAAAAAACAAATACTATAATTAGCTGATTCATAGATTGAGATATTAGCGCTTCTAGTTCAAGTGCTGAGTGCCTAAAGTATGCGTGTCTTGGTTATATAAAATGAGAGTCATAAACCTCACATTATGTAAAAAAAATAATATTAGTTATTTTGATTTGAACAATAATTTAAAATTTTTGAAACCTTTAGTGCACGTTATTAAAAATTTTAAATGGGCATAACTCAAATTTTTTAAATTTTGTAAAATTTAAATGATAATTTTATCTTTTTTATCCTTTGATAATTTATACTCTAATTTATGATCTGTTATAAAATTATTTGCAGCACGTTACATCATCATATTTTTCGTAACTTATATAACTCTAATATTAAAAATTTGTAAGCTGCAACGTTGAAACGTGTATATATGTTACCAAATTTCCAGTATATTACCCGAACTTCTTCTTCTACCACCATGAAAGCTCCCTAAACTGAACACAGCACTGCTAATTTGTTATATTTTTCTTGAATCTATGCGGCATAAACATTAGCCGAACAATATCTTTGTACCGACGACAGGACATTTAGACTATTTTTCAATATTAATGGATTGATTTTTCTTTTTTTGTCTTTTGAATTTGAAAAAAAAAAAATCATATGAATTTTGTCATGTGGTATTTGTAAGGACAGTCAGGTCTTATCTTTCGACGGTAGCCGCTCCAAAGGTATCGAGACGGCTTTGTTCTTTTAAATAATGTTATCGACTTTCTGTTTCCGGCACCAATTTCATTCCCAAATGGCCAAATCTCCCCATCACAATCGTTAAAAGCATATTTCTTAGAAATAAAATTGATAGCATAAAAAAGTATCTTTTTCATTAAAAGAAAAAAAAGTATATCGTTTGTCTTTTTGAAGTGTTAAGTATCTTGTTTGTTGGTACTATTTTGATTAGTCATTTTGTTAAATGGTTAATGTTTTAAAAAATATGATTTTAATGTGATATTGCAATGGTATTTGTCCCCTTTTTATGTCTCTGTAATAATATCATGTCATGTTGTTTAAAATTTTATATGCAGTTAATTAAAAAATTAATAGTTAAAATATTTTAATTAACGTGACATGATCTTATTAGAAGAACGTCAAGAAAGGGACAAAAATGAGATATGTGATCTCAATTCTATCCCAAATAGGCTAGATTTTAGTCTTACTATACATATTTATTATTTATATTCTAAAAAAAAGAACGGTAAACATGTATTATTTGTTAGTTTAGTTTTTTTATGACATCATAAACAAAGTAAAATTAACTAGTATTTAAAGAAGTTTTATTTTTTGTTGGAAATATTTAAAAACTATTTCTATGTTGAAAAATTTAGGCATCGTTTATTTCGCCGTTTTGAGTTTTTAATTTTAGATTTTTACAGTTAAAAGTTCTAAAAAAATGTCACATTTTATTTTTTCTGCTATAATTAAAAGCTCTCAGAAGATGTCACATCTCAATTCGAATTGAAAATTTGAATCTGCGAAGCGAACGATAAAAACTAAGTTGGTCAAAGATGATATAACATTAAACATAAAATCCGTATGATGTGTGGCTTAAGGTAGTAGGGCATGGTCAATTATTTATTCCAGTAAAGGCTCGAGGTAATGCATTGATTAAGTAGGTCAATAACCCAAACGCATTATATCACGCACCTTTTGATCTTACTAAACTATCCTGGCAACAGTACTTTGTGCTTTTGAGTTTTTCAAATTTAACTTCGTACGTAAGCAGTGTGACAAGTCAATATTAACTTTATATATTTGTAATTTTTTTTATTATAAAAAACGCACAAATAATTTGACAAAGCAATGAATATATTTAAAATTATCTAAATTTAAGATCAAATATGTAAATTTCTATAAGTGAGTAATGACTGAAAATTGATATTCATTTGTATGCAATAATACCATATTTAATTATTTGTTCAATACAATATGTCATTTGTTTTTCTTTTGAAGCTTATTAAAGAATAGGGAAAATTTATAAAGAAAATTCCAATCATGAAAAAAGGTACTCCCATTGTATAACTTGATATGATCAAATTACTTTATGATTAATTGAAAACCAATGTCGAAAAATTAATCCGTTCAATTCAAAAGTTATCTTGTAAAACCCAACACATTTCTACTTCTCTCTTTTTATCACTAATTTACATAGAGGTATCTATAATAGGACAAACTATCTCATTTAAAGTAATAACCAATGTAACAAAGAAACTAAAATGTGGTCAGTTTTTATATTACTTAGACTCATATATTGACGTGTGAGGTGTGGGAGTATATATAAGTCATGTGGGGAAATCTTAATCATTGCATTGAAATTTAAAAGAGCATTGATTAATATAAACCTTTTGATTAAAGGTTGAAGTAAAAAAATTCTTTAACCTTATTCTCCCTTCTTGTAGATCTTATAGCTATATTTCTCAGCTCTTTCTGGTAGGTGGGAAACAAATAATAAGAAAACATCACTTCAAACAAAAAACAATGTTTTTGAGACCATAAAAAAAATGTCAATGTAATTAATATTTTGCCTAGAAGGATTTTTCTTTTTTCTTTTTATAAAGAAACAACTTCTTGTTATGTATGAAATCCACAAAGAAAAAAAAAAGATTTCATGTAATGTATATTTTCTATCATAAAATTGTATCACAATATATGTATTTATTCCTTTTTAGCAGGAGTGGATGATTAGAGAAAAGGTGTGGATTTACAGACACCAACAACTATATTTCTATTAAAACAAACGATTAAATTCATTTTAATCCTACAATAAGAATAATATATGAATATTTAAAGAGAATTATGTGAAAAGCTACCTTATTAATAACATACGTTTTTAAAATGTTAGATTTTGTTAATTTAATACGATTCAACAGTTAAGTTCAAATGGAACTCAACTTTTCATGGTAGAAGTCAGATGTCTAAATTATGCATAAAATCATCATAGTATTTCTTTATAGCATGCTACAAAACTAATGAGAATTGTATTTCTTAAACAAAACTTTTTATTTATTTCTTTATAGTATTTCCATAAACTAGTATTTATTTATCTGAGTTGTCGGTTAGACCTAGCCCATGCAAGTTAGAGAAAAAATACAACCTAACTTGTATGACGAGGTGGGGCCGGGTTGGCCCGATTAGGTAAAGAAAACATACAGCTCAACCCAACCTTTATACCCGATGACCGTATACAGGTCTAGCTAGCTCATGTGTTTCATTTGCATTTTAATTTATCTTTTTTTTTTATAAAAGTTATATGGATTAAAAACTTTGGCTCGACCATGCTCGATTCTTATGCGGACCGAATCGACTCAACCCCAATATTGGGCGAATTGAAAGAAGTGGCCATAGGACGACTTGTCTAGCCCTGGCCATATTTATAGCTCTGTATTGATGATGATGTACTCGTGAAAGACGGCCTACAAAGATTCACTCACGTACCACCCAAGGATCGATTTGGATTTGCTCGCGGTGAGACTGAAATTATATGTGGGAGTGAGAATTTTGGTTTGAGTTTCATAATATAAAGAAATAGCAGAAAATTTTGTGGATAGAGTATTAGGAATCTTTGATTGGAGATTTGATTATATTTCATTAAGGCTCATTTTCCTCCACATATGTTTTCCTCTTTTACCTCCACCGATTGCTCCATTGTATATTTTTCCTTATATTCACTTTCATTTCTTGTACAGCCCCACTGATTACGTACCACCCAAGGATCGATTTGGATTTGCTCGCGGTGAGACTGAAATTATCTGTGGGAGTGAGAATTTTGGTTTGAGTTTCATAATATAAAGAAATAGCAGAAAATTTTGTGGATAGAGTATTAGGAATCTTTGATTAGAGATTTGATTATATTTCATTAAAGCTCTGTGATTTGTGATATTTTTCCTTATAAAATACAACTTTTACTCATTATAAATCCAAAAGTATCATAGAGAGAGAGAATTTTTTTTAATGGTGAGAAGTTTTGGTCTATAAAAAGAAAAAAACAAAGCAAGAGACACACCGAAGGCCAGATTAGAGGTGGTCGAGATGGGGCCACGACCGTCAGCGGAGGAAGCCCCAAAGGAGGCAGACGGTGAAGGCGAGGCTTTTGGGCTAAAGACGATAATGGAGGAGTCGTTGGCCACTGCCATTGTTGTGCATGCCCTAACTTTTGATTATCAGATTAGATTGATTAAAAATTTAGGAGATGAGTTTAGGACAATTTCGTCTTTTTAAGGATCATTTAGGTTTTAACGTGAATAATTTAACGAAACTTTATGGAAAAAAATTAATTACACCTATTTATTAATGTTAGCGACTATTTTGTTAAAATTTTAAAAAAATAAAAATTAAACTATCATTTTTTAAAGAAGTTGGTGACTATCCGTGTCAATTATTTTTTTTAAAAAGAAACCTTTTAGCAATTAAAGTATCGTTTATTTCACTGATTTAAATTTTTTGTTTTAGATTTTTACAGTAAAAATTTTTAAAAAAATATCAAATTTAATTTTTTTTATTATAATAAAAATCTCTTAAAAAATATCACATCTCAATTCGAATATTTAAAGTGAACGAGCGTAAATAATAGAGAAACATATAACCGCGTCACGCGCTCATGAGCAGCGTTGGTGAAGTTTCGTATTTATAACAAGTGACAGGTACTACTGTAATAAGAATCTAAAACTGGACTTTTAGAGAGAGAGAGAGAGAGAGAGAAATCCAAAATCCAAAAGAGGTAGCTTTCCTGGGGTCCTGAAAAGAAGTCTTTTGCCTACGCACATCAAACCACGTAGCCGAATTTGGTCCGTGCGAACTGCGAACGAACCAACACCAACGTCAAAAAAGCCTTCTCCAGCTTCACTTTCTTCTCTCTCTCTCTCTCTCTCTCTCTCTCTCTCTCTCTCATTCTTCTTCTTTCTTCATTCAATGTCTCACGGCGACGTCGTTTCGCCGTCCCTGTTCGCCGCCGACGGGATTGACGACGTCGACGACTACATTTCGGTAACCATCTGTTCTTCTTCCTCCTCTACCTCTTTTTTCATTTCTTGATTCCGTTTCTGTTTGGTTCGCGAGAAACTGTGGGATAATCGGATTAAAAATCGAGTTTTCCTTTCAATGTTAATGCTATGGTTGAAGTCTCGGTTCGTTTTTGTTTTTGGCCGGAGAAATTTTGGATTAATGGAGGGGAAAATGGAGCTTTATTTTTATTTTTATTTATTTCTCTCTCTCTAAATGGTTGTAGTGATTGTTTATTAGTTGGGAGCGGAGAAAAAGAGAATGTTCTCGGCGGCAATTTCGCGTATTTTGACTGTTTTGATTAGCTGAGCTGAATTTTCATATATCTGAAAATTTGTATATTGTAGGATTGTTGTAAGTTTCTCATGCGTTTTCTCAGAGATCAATTGGTGTTTACTTTTTACCTTTTTTTGTTCTTTTTTCTTTTTCTAACCCTTTAAAAGAGGCTTTTGTTTGTTTCTTTTGTTTTTCATTTCCAATTGTTTGGTTGCTGAGAACAATTTGCGTAAAAAACTCGAAGAAATTTGTTTTCTTTCTTTCGTTTTAACTCTTTGCCAGCTCTCTGGTCAGTGTGAAATCCAAGGAAAAGTGGTAATAGAATCGAATGTTGATACTGTTTTGGTTTGTTCCTGACATTGGTGTATCCAAAATGTACTGTTTGTAGATGCTCTTTTCTTAAGTCCACTTTCTAATGGAAAGTTATTTGCTTATTTTAGAATGGAATTATATGGATGTTTTCATTATGGTTCTCAATTTTGAATCTTATGTGGATTCTGTCAAAGTTATTTGCTTGTTCTTTTCTGGTTGTATGGAAAATGAATTTCTGTTGACATTTGAAACTGTGCCCCGGAACCTAATGGAAGGACTTGGATGAAACTGCAGGCACATGATGGAGGACAATCATTGCCTCGGGACACGTTTGATCATGTTTTTGACCTTGTGCAAAGAGGGAATCGAGCATTTAGAGAGAACCGTTATGAGGAGGTGGCATTTTAGCAATTTAAAGTCTATTTCCTGTTGGGTTTTTCAATTCTAATTGTCTTGTAGTTTGATGGAATCTGTATGAAATTGTAGTTTGATGGAATATCTATGAAAAATGTACAAAATAGCTGTTAGAGCATTTAAGGATTATGGTGGAACTGGAAACTACCAAGCGGATTACAGTTTAATTTTATTCTTCTACACTTATTCATGTTTTAAAAGAAGTTGGTTTAGTTTTTGAGGTAACAAACCATTGAACTTTAGACAATTGCGTAGGCAATCTGTACGTAGATATCCATAGTAAACCTTGAATCTGTTTGCAACTTGTCATTTTGTATGCTTAATTACTCCAGGGAAAAAAAAATGCCTTCAATAGGCTTTCTTTTTGCTTGAAGAAATTTTTTATGAATTCTTTGAAATTCTTGTCCTGTATTTTCTCATTAATCATATTATTTGTTCAGGCAATCAATTGTTACTCACGGGCTAATAGCATTAAACCAAGTGATCCTGTTATCCTTGGCAACCGTTGTGCTGCTTATATAAGGTTAAATGTTAGTCATTGATTTATTTTCCCTTTTGTCCTCTACCATTGATTATTTATCGCTTGCTTTTCGAATCATCTTTTGAAAGAGTTTGGACAGCATTAACAATGCCTACTCTCAAGCAGGATTAGTAAATTCTTGATGCACAGACCTCCATCAGCTTCTGAATATAGACCATTGAACGGGCTTGATCCAACGACACATGCTGAAGTAAGTCTGCTTGTATCATAATTCAGTAAAAAGTCAAGCTTCTTTTGCCTACATTCTGAAATGTTTTTCTTCCAATTATTTCAGCTTGCGTTGAAGGATGCAGACAAGTTGATTAACTTACGCAGCAATTTGGTGAAATCATACATTCTAAAGGCTGGTGCTCTTATTTTGGTATGAAATTGTCACCATTTTGTTTATATGTCGCAGGGAAAGGGTCATTCCTGGGTACTTCATATTCAGTATCTCTTATTAGATAGCATGCGTGATGCACCTAAGTGGAACGTGCATGTATTATGATTTAAACTTTTTCAATAGGATACTTTTGTTTCCCTTAGTGGGGGGGGGGGGGGGGAGGGGGAGAAACAAAACCTATATTTCCTTTGTCCTATTTTCTCTGACAAATGGAGAAACTTATTCTGCAAGAAAATCAAAGAAGGAACAAAAAAAACCAGAGGTTAGGTTCACCATCACTCCAAGAAACTCGCCTATACCAAATGTAAGCAATCCTCAAGCTAATCAGAGGACCTAATGAAAAAGAATTAACTCATCTAGCCCCAAGATTGGAAGTTTAGCATTCTGCACTTCAATGAGCTTAAGGCACTGGAGTAATTAAAAATATAAAAATACGTTTTGACACTCAGCTTTTTGTGCTTTCATTTGGGATTGACAGTGACCACTTGTGTGTGTTTGTGCTGTTAGAAAAGCTGTTGTCCTTCTTAGTTGTTTGGTAACAGTTTTTTCTCAATTTAATCTTGGCGTGATTTGCAGTTGGAGAAATATGAGATGGCCCGAGATGTTATTCTTTCTGGTCTTCAGGTGGATCCTTTTAGGTAATACTTGTAACATAACGATTCTGTCAGTTAAAGGGCTAGAGATACTTGTATTGTAGGATGTTAATTCCTACTTGCTATTTAATATTTATACAAGGTCCCACTTGGTAATGGTTTATGTTCTGTTCTGGTAATATGCAGCAATTCTCTTAAGACTTCTCTTCAGAATCTGGAGAGAACTCAAGGCAATTTAAGGGGGAGGAGAGACCATGGAAGGCCGGAACGTACTGATGATTTCGATTGTACATTATGTCTGAAGCTACTTTATGAACCTATCACAACCCCTTGTGGGCATTCTTTTTGTCGCTCGTGTCTATTTCAGTCAATGGATCGGAGTGAGTGTTTTACTGTAGTTGATCCTGTTTCCAAAGGTCTATAGATCAACTTATATTTCACTCCTTTTTAACCCTTGTGTTGAAAATGTTAGGTAACAAATGTCCATTGTGTCGGACAGTTCTTTTCATTAGTCCAAGAACCTGTTCTACCAGGTAATTTTCCTTTTGGTATTGAAAATTGAGTGAGATAACTCGTATCAGCCCTCTTTCTATGTATGCTTTTGTTATTGAGAATGTTGTTGGTCGAAGACAAGGCATCCAGGAGTTTAATAAATAAGATATTTTAGGTTGATATATGTATAGCTATTTCATAAACAGTCGTCATCATCATCATCTGATTAGTAGACCACCACTGTCCATATATATTGATTGATGCCGCCTTATGCGGGATAATAGCAGTAAATAGAATAAGAGAAAGTTACTAATGGGGTCGATCTTTATCTGTGAAATCTTTTTGGTAGGGGCCAGTCTACATTCTTGTGTTAATAATGCACGCAATGCTTGAAATTCATGATGGTTGAACAACCATATTCTTTTTTCTTTTTTCTTTTTCTTTCTTTCTTCCTTTTTCTTCTCCAACACATAAACTACAAACCCCATTTATCTTAGTCTCTTAACTCTAGCTACATTTTATGACATCATATGGGTTTTTGCCAGTGTGACACTGAACAACATTATACAAAAGAATTTCCCAGAGGAGTATGCTGAAAGGAGGACAGAACATCAAAGTTTGACAAACCTTGGTGTTGATTTGATGCCTCTCTTTGTCATGGATGTTGTCATTCCGTGTCAGAAATTTCCACTGCATATATTTGAGCCTCGTTATAGACTTATGGTGAGTTCATTTGCTTGTTTAACTGCTTGTTACATGTCTTATCAGATACGTACATCATCAAAAACCTCTGCTTCTGTGTATATGCTTCACCTACATATCATCGTCTATAGGGTCACCAGTTCTAAACATTTTCTATGTTTCAAGTTTCAACGAGGTTATAGCATGGTCAGAAGGTGACTGTTAAGTGGAAAGAGCTGGATTGCTATGAAAATAGTAAATCCTGGAGCCTGAAATTTAATTTTCTTTCCAAAATATCTGAATGAATGATTTTGCAAAAAATTAATGTTATCATAATATCCTTAACTTATTCGTTTGGAGAAATTATTGTTTTTGTATTAATTATGACTTGAAAACAGGTGAGAAGGATAATGGAAGGCAATCATCGGATGGGAATGGTAGTTTAATATTAATTGTCCTTGTCCTTTTCCTTTCATCCTTAAGGTATATCAAAATGACCAAAAATCCCTCACTGTTATTTATTGTGCCTTTCTACTGATTGTGTAGGTTATTGTTGATCCTAATACGGGTACCTTAGCTGATTTTGCTTGTGAAGTCGAGATAACTGAGTAGGTCTTTTATTTTTCGCCCTCTTCTTGTAGATTTCATCGTTTACTTGTTTAATTTCAAGCTCCATGGTAAACTTCGTTTGGTTGATTTTTTTCCCTTAAATACCTGTTGTGCATACAGGTGTGAACCACTTCCAGATGGGCGTTTCTATCTAGAGGTTAGACATCATGTATCTTCATACTCATGCACCGTTTACTTTAACTGCCTTATGGGCGGCCGAAATTTAATTATTCAAACATTCTGTTTGTCTACCTTTTTATCCAGAAAAATGAAAAAACTATTCTGGTTTGTTCCAATTTGACAAGTTGGTAATTATCAGGATTTTACAATTAATAAAAAAATATCCACTCCAAATATATTTCCGTGTAAAATATTTTTTGTGAAGTTTCTATTTATCATTGATGTTTGGTCGTATAATTGTATCTTTTTCCCCCTCTATTTAGCTAGTTCATTGGATTGGGATGAAACAGACTCTCCTCTTAACATATTTATTCAATACGAAATTATGGTTATATCCTTTTACAGCAATCCATTTGTGAGTTTAACAAAGCAAATATATGCAGATTGAAAGTCACCAGAGATTTCATATAATTCGTTCTTGGGATCAAGATGGGTGAGTTACCAGTGTTTTTATATGAGCTACCTGCTACTCATTTGATCTGCAGTTCGCTTTCTTAAATTCTTTCTGATGTGTAATACAGGTATCGTGTTGCAGAGATTGAATGTGTACAGGATATTTATCCACCCGAAGGGTCAGAAGAAAGAGCAGACGTAAGTTTGCCTTTCCCTTTTATGGTTAATGTTGAGCCAGAGGGATATAGTTTTCACTAAATGAGGTTTCCTTTTTTAAATGGGATTGTACAAGACCATCTAGGCAGTATATTGATAACTTAACTTGTCAGATGTATCAATGTAGGAAGATACAGAAATAGGTACCTTGGTTTTTTCGTATTGTTTGATCCTTATGAACTGCTTTCTACACGGTTACAGTTACAAGAGACGACAAATAATGCAGTCGAATATGCTCGGTCATGGATAACGAGGGCAAAAGAAGCAGCACAATTTGGTGAGACACTGAGGGATAATATACTCGTTTCACAATTTACATCTGTTCTCGCTTGCAAATTGACTGGAATTGTCCTCGTCGAGTTTGTGGAATAAAACATTTAATTGCTAGATCTCCGTTTTTGGAAGACAAAGGAAAGGATAGTTGTCTAATATTGTTCTTTTCCTTTCTTAACTGGTCTGTATACTGATATCTTTTTATTATCCTTGGTAAGGAAAAAAAAAAGCTCAGTAGAATTAGTAATATTGGTAAAAACGCTTTAATGAAGCCATTATTTGACAGGAGATTGTCAATTTCTAATATTTTAATTTCCTTTTTGTTTTGCCACTAATGATGTTACTATGTTTGGTTTTATTTTTCCAATTTAATTTTTTTTATGGTTGCTTTTATTTAAATACTTTCGCTTGGACGATGTCATGTTGGAAGACATTGAGGAAACACTTTGCAAACCTTTTCCTAGTTTCTCTAGCAAAAGATAAATGTCTTGCATTTTTTAGTGAATCCTTTGAAAATCTTATCAGTGCTCATGCAGTCTGTCATTACCTTGTGATGGCTTATTCAATTCTAAAGTTCTTGTTTGCATATTGTCCATATAATTATTACGTTTCTTTATTGCTGTAGATCAAAGAAAACTCGAGAAAATTCATAATCTTGAGTCTATGATGCCCACAGCACAAGATCCCGAGCGCTTCAGTTTTTGGGTAACTTTTTTTTCTTTTCTTTTTTGTTACGTAACAAGTATATTAGCTAATAATCATGTTTTGGACCAGTATTAATGTATACTTGGCTGCAGCTTGCTACCCTAACAAATCGGAGACCTCATGAAAGATTGGAACTACTGCGCATGAGAGACACAAAAGAGGTAACGAGTAGTTCTTGGTCATGTGAATTCCATTTCATGAACATATTTTGTTGTTGGTGTGGAAAAGAGTATTGCCTGCTACTTTTGAGGTTGTTTTTCTATAATACGCAGTTTCTCTTTACACCACAGTTCAATTGTGATGCTGACATATTCATTCATTAACTTCATTTTGTTCATCTATTGCACATTTAGTCGCAATTTTATTTTTCTCTTTACTTATTTATTTGTTTATTTTTTAGAGGATGACACGTGGACTGATTTATCTCAGAGCAGAGCAGCAGGGTTGCCGAGTGCAATGATAACAAGTTGTATTAGGTTTTGTTCCCAATTGTGATGATTTCGTATATTTGTAGAGATTGAATTTGCTAAGACGATTTTATAATTTATTTACATGACAAACATTCTTTTGTACACAACTATAGCGTTGTGGATTCTTTTTGTTTTGTTTTATGAAAATGAGTTATACTCAAAACTATCTGTAAAGGAAAATAAGGAGCAGCTTTTAATTTTTAATTTTTTTTTTCAAAACCTTGTATTATTTTTGCGGTAAAATATCATGTACTTCTGTTCGATTATAATTGTTATTGTTGACGGCAAAAAATGACCAACTTTAGAGGAACTGAATTTTTAGAGTAAGATCCGATTCAAAAGCAAAATACCATCAACGAATCAAAATAAAAATGAAAGGAAAGAGGGGATACAAGCATTTAGAGTGGTTTGACCCAATGTGACCTACATTTACTATGATTTTCATTGAATTAATGAGATTACACACTCAAATTCTCTCTTACGTGCTCTCTCGACATTCAAAGTAAGGAAAAAAACGTAAAGAAGTCTTCTCTGAGAGTGAGGATTCGAACCCCCTTCTCCGCTTCCTCTTCTCGTATTTATAGGGCCCTTCCCCTCGAGTAACCATCCCTTGTGGATGTAACCGTTGGTCATGGGTGTAACCGTCCTACCCATGTCCACCATTTTTGTGTCTCTTACTCTTCTTTTAGTATGTGGCTTTTCACTCCTCCTTGGACATAATCTCCGCTTCCCTTGATGATAATATGCATCTCATGGGATTGCTGACGTGGTGATTCTCTTATTTAACTGGGATTGCTGACGTAGTGTTTTCTTTGTTTTCCACGTGATAAATTGAGTCAGGGAGTTATGCTTATTTTAACTTGCTCTAGTCCAAAGAACTTGTCCTATGAAGTTAACCTTTCGGAGATTTGACCTCGAGGTATTGAGCTCAATGTACTGACCTCATAGTGCCAAGCTCAAAAGTACCGAGCTCAAAGTATCAAACTTAGGGTGTTGAGCCTAGGACACTTAACTTGAGGCATTTAGCCTAGGGCATTTAGCCCAAGGCATTTGACCTAAGGCATTTTGGGTTAAGGTATTTTGACTTAGGGCATTTTGGTCAAGGAATTTCAGCCTAAGGCATTTAGCCTAGGGCATTTTGGCCTGAGGCATTTTGGCCTAGGACATTTAGCCTAGGCATTTCACCTAAGGCACTTAGCCTGGGACATTTGGCCAGGACATTTTGGCCTAAGGCATTTTGGCTTAAGACATTTAGTCTAGGCATTTGACCTAAGGCATTTAGCCTAGGACATTTGGCTTTGGACATTTTGGCCTGAGGCATTTTGGCCTGGGGCATTTTGCCTTGGGCATTTTGCCTTGGGCATTTTGCCTAGGATATTTGGGTTGAGGCATTTTTTCCTCATTTACCTACCTAGGGTCACTCATGTCACTTATTCATCTTAACATACTAGGCTCAAATTATTTAGTTCGACATACCCACTTTAAATTATTTAGCTCGATATATCCAGCTCAAAATATCAAACTTAGGTGATGATCTCAAGGTACCGAGCTTAACTTACCCAACTCAATTTGAGCTTCGAGTTTATAAATAACTTATGTGGAATGTCATGTTAAACTTATGATAAATTATTGTATAACAGTTATACATTACAAAATGTGTATATATTTATATATATACACACATATATATTACCAATGTAAGATTAGGTTCTTAGCACATTACTCATCAAATTTCTATATTACTGCAGATGCTGATGAAAATATAACTATTAAAAATTCATCTATTTATATATTTTACTGCAATATTGTTGCATGGCGAATTATAGTACTATTTAAGGTTGCTCCTTCAAAGCTTGTCTAATCATGTATACATGTTGAAATCGTTATCTTTGATTTATCATTCTTTTAGGAGAGTATGACAAACATCATATCTCATCTCCATAGGTGATCAAAGTCTATGTCAAAGACTCATAGGGCAAGACGTGGTCGCAAAGTCTTTTTGCATTATAACTTGTGCTCCCAAGTAGCATTTAGATTCTTATGATCCAAAGTCAATGTTTTAGCCGACAAAAAAGAAAAAAAAAATCAAAAGTCAATGCTAATTTCAAGTGATACCCACATCTACATCAACAACCATTTGTCACAATAGAGTGTCCACATATATCTTCAAGAAGTGTGTACCCCTGGCCCTTGAAAGCATGATCGCTAATTGATTCCGTCTCTTGTTGGTGAATTAAGGATGTGTTTTTCATAGTTGCGTGAAGTGGACCATATAATAGACAAAGGGGGAGACGTGATAGCAAAGCTTTTGCGTTATAATTTGTCCTCCCAATTAAGCTCCTTTCATTCCAAAGTGGTGTGTGGGGGGGTCTACGCTAGCCATGTCTTACGATAAAACCATATGTACACGTCTCAGATAATATGTACAGTTGTACACTATCCCTTGATGGCAGTAGGCATTATAACTTGTTATGTATCTTCTTGGTGAAATATTACTTAAGGATATTGTAATTCCTAGTTATGTGTGAATATATGCGTACCAATTTTAGTGGACTAAGTCATGTTCTGTACCAATTATTAAGGAAATAGAACTATTAAGCCTCGTTGGTTTGAATTGTGTTGATTTGAATAGAAAAATTCTAACATAGTGGTTTGAACTGGCATTTGGTTGTACATTTAAAGTTTTAATTCGAATAATGAATATAATTTGAATTAGTATTTGGAATTTGATTCTAATTTGACTACAAAAACATTATTATTTATGATTTTTAAAAAATAATAATGCATTAAGACTTACAACCTGTACGTATTTTTAAAAAAAAAAAAATTTGTGCAGCGCCTCTTAAAGTATTATACGTTAATTTTTTTAGGATAATTAGCACAGATTGTCCCTAACCTATTTAGTTAGTGACAGTTTAGTCCATCTTTTTTTAGTTTTGACAAAACACATCTCAAACTCCTTAAGGTGCAATTTACATCTTTCCCTTAACATCCGTCAAATTCCCAACAGAAAATCCCACATGACCCCTCACATGGCCTTATAATGCGGGGTATAATCAAAAAAGCATCTTGTTGGTCACATTTGAGCTAAAATTATTCCTTGAAGCTCGCAACATTCTCTTCTTCTCTGGAGCTTCGCCGCCCTCTCTCCAAGGAGGTGATGAGAGATCCTCTTGTTGTTTCCACTCGACAAATTAGTTTGTCCTCCATTTCACTTTTAGGACCTTTTTTTCTTCTTTTTTTGTTTGATTTTTTGGAAAACTTGAGAAAAGATTGGAAATTGTTTGAAATTTGGGCGTGAATAGAAATAGAGATGCAACAATGGGCCGGGGCCCATAGGCCGGCCAGGCCCATCATGACACAGTGACGGGTCAGACCGGCACGGTCCGTCACTGTTCAAGGCACAGCCCAGCCCATAAATATTAATGGGTTAGGCTGGGCCAACATATATCGACCCATGGGCTAACTCGGCACGGCCATGAAAAATCATGGACTAGGCCGAGCTTGGGCGGGACTGGGCCAGCCCGTCTAGGCCCATGATGGGCCGGCCCAGCCTGGCCCGTCTAGGCCCATAATGGGCCGGTCTAGCCTATCTAAGCCCATAATATTTCATGTTTTTTTTTTCTTTTTTTTATAGTAATTTTGTTAACATCTTATGTATAATTATCCTGATTGTACTTTTTTTTTCTTATTAAGGTTTTATCCTACTGAGTTTTCCTTAGAAAAGTTTTTATTTAATGAAAAAATCGTAAATAAAATATCCATTTTCCTATTTCCATTGATTATTTAAACTTATATATTTGTTACTTTGTGTAAAAATTAAAAATAAAATAATTAAAAATAACACGTTTAGATGAGCTGACTCATTTAAACTCATGATGGACCAAGATGGGCTTTGAGTGAGCCAACCCATTCAAGGTCCATGACACGGCCCATTCTGACTCGCGACACGGCTCAACCTGACACACGTAAAATTGACCTGTGGTATGGGCTGGACTAAGGTCATTCTTATACGGGCCGGGGCGGCCCGGCCCGCGGCCCGCGTGGGTCTAAGGAGAACGGGTTAGGCCGGCCGACCCGCTCTTGCATTTCTAAATAGAAATTCGTGCTGAGGGCCACGAAGGTGGGGCCGCAATGGGGAGGGCCACGGCGAGGAGATCTGGTTTGCAGTGGAAAGGGCTGCGATGGGGGGCTCGAAGTGTGGAGGCTTTACGGCGGAGGGATTCCGAAATGCTGCGGCAACGACTCTAGTTCCCAGCGGTAACAGATCCGATTAGCGGCCTCAACCACTGAAACAAAAGGTTGTAAATGTGGTCTTTCCCTTTAAATCTTCTCTGGCGTTGGAGAAGATGGTCCCATTCTGGAAGATTCAAAGTTATCCTCTGGTTTGGGATGGGTACTGTTGTCATGTGCTTAGAAGTAAGGCAGCCCATATTCTTTTTGAATATGCTTTGAACACAATTTTTGATTTTTTTGGCATTGGGATTAGCCCCTTTTTTTATCTGATATAATTTTGCCTAATATAACCCATTTATGAAATCCATGGTTTCGTTCAAAGAAAAAAAGTGGTGAAATGGAGTTCTTTTAGCGGTGGTGGCAATTGGGGGTGGCCGGGTGGGTTGCTGCAAGTGGTGGTGAGGTTGTTGCTGGAGGGTGTGTTTTGGGGAATCGTATTTTTCTGGTTTTAGAGTTTTTTTTTTTTTTTTTTTTTTTTTTTTTTTTAATTCAGAGATTGAGCTTCAATCTCCATAAATTAAAAAAAAAAAAAAATTAGTTTAAGAGTATTTTGGTCTTTTCAGGAAAGAAGAGAGTCTATGCATTCCGTTAAAAACTTGACAAAATATAACGGAAAGATAAATTACATTTGATTAAGGAGTTTGGAGATTGTTTTGCTAAAATTAAAAGAAGGATTAAGTTGTCACTAATTAAATAGATTAGGAACTATCTTTGCCAATTACTTTTAAAAAAAAATGATAATGTATAACAAATATTACAAAAGATAATATCTCATTGAAGAAGTATATAAAAATCTTTTTTAGGCGTCTTTCAATGGCAACAAGTGGAGGAAAATATAAGGGGGGAAAAAAAATTGTAACACGCAAGAACTACCAAATCTCAACTGTGAGGTGTATACCATTCAGCTTGTAAATAACTGATCTAATAGGAAAAGAAAACGTGGTTAAAGAGAAAATACCTGAACGCATAGAGAATGACTTGTTTGAAATATGTGAATATATACAAGTTAGTGATGATAACATTATTATATATTTAGGCAATATATACAAGTTAGTGATGATAACATTATTATATATTTAGGCAATCATTCTTTTAGTGGCTTTCAGGGCCCAACGCATAGTTCGTTGTCCTATATATATACTCGCACACATATATTCTCTCCATTCTGTTTCTAATTTTCTTTTACCGACTCTTTTTCTTCTCACACATTAATGAATCAAAACAACAACAACAAAAAAACATGCCTGCACGTATTTCCCTTGTACGTGCCTCCAACAACAAACCTCCTTATTTCCATCCATTTTTGTACACTCACATCCGCGAGAAAAAAACCCACTTTCAGTTTTCTCGTCCATTTTCCTTCCATCCAAACAAATCCAAAACCCAAAAAAAAATAGCACAATGCAAAAACTTATATCCATCATCATCATCACTTTCTCCACCATGTCATTACAATCCTAGCTCAAAAGAAGGAAAAAAAAAAAAAAAAACATAACAATGGACGAGTTTTTCCCACGCAGAAACATATTAGAACCCCATAAACTCTCTTCCTTTTCCCTTCCCTTAATCCTTCTCATAATCTTGATCAACTTCACAATTCCTTCTTCTTCTCTCTCTTCCTTTTCACCTGCTGATAATTACCTCATCGACTGTGGCTCTTCCCAGCAGACCAAACTCTCCGACGGCCGGACTTTCAAGTCGGAGCGCGACACGGCGTCCCTCCTGTCCTCCTCCGACGACGTGCAGATCTCCGCGGATTCAACGTCGATATCGGCCGCAAAAGCATTGTCTTCCTCCATCCCTTCTTCCTCTCTTCCACTGTTCACCACCCTAAGGGTTTTCTCAGAAGAATCCACGTACAGTTTCCACATCTCACAAGCCGGGACCCACTTTGTCCGTCTCTACTTCTTCCCTGTCCCCCATGCAACGTACAATTTCACCGCCGCAACGTTCACGGTCACCGCCGATAACTACGTTCTTTTAGAAGACTTCTCAGTTTCTGATTACGCCACTTTTGTTTACAAGGAGTATTTCGTCAACGCCAGTGACAGATTTTCTCTCGTATTCAAGCCGAAGAAGAAATCATTCGCTTTCATAAACGCCATTGAGGTAGTTTCTGCTCCTGATTCTCTTGTCGCAGATTCAGCCACGGCCGTTTTTTCATCTGGGGTTTTCAATGGTTTATTTAAAAACTATGCTTTCCAAGTTTTTTACCGGTTGAATGTTGGAGGGCCAAATTTAGGTCCTGAAAACGACACGTTATATAGAACTTGGGAATCTGATAGTGCATATAATGCGTTTGTACAAGGGTCTAAGAGTGTTTCTGTGTCTCCAAAAACTGTGAAATACCGAGAAAATAATGGAGAGTTAAGTTTAACCCCTTTGATTGCTCCCAATTGGGTTTATGCCTCAGCTCAGGAAATGCAAGATCCTGTTGTTATGGAACCCAATTTCAATCTCACTTGGAGGTTTAGTGTGGATCAGGGCTTTTCCTATTTGATTAGGATGCATTTTTGTGACATTGTTAGCTTGGCCCTCAACAGCCTTTACTTCAATGTCTACATCAATGAGATGATAGCGGTGTCTAGTCTCGATCTTTCGAGTCTCACGGGAGCTCTAGCCACCGCGTATTACCGGGACTTCGTGCTTGATTCGGCGAATGTCACGAACAGTTCCATCATGGTTCAGGTTGGTTGTGCTAATCTCCAGTCAGGGGTGAGAAATGCTATTCTTAATGGATTGGAGATTATTAAGATAAGTAACTCTGCTGGTAGCTTGAATGGTACTTTCACCGTTGATGGGAAATACAAAGGGCCTGGTAGTTCAGCACTTAGTCCTATGAAGATTGTTGCGGCTGTCGGGTTGGGATTGGCAGTGACGGTGATGTTTTTGCTCGGTGCGGTTTGTGTTCGGTGGCAGAGGAGGCCTCAAGGTTGGGAGAAACGGAAGAGCTTCTCGTCGTGGCTTCTGCCGCTCCAAGCCGGCTACTCAAGTGCTAATTACTGGTCCAGCAGGAGCAGCTCTAGGAGGTCTAGTCTCTTTGGCTCTCGCCGCAGCAAAAGTGGCTACTCGGGCTATTTTGCCTCCTCTGTTTACTTTGGAAGAGTCTTCACTCTCGGTGAATTGCAGGCTGCGACGCAGAATTTCGACGAGAAGGCAGTGATTGGGGTTGGCGGGTTCGGAAAAGTATATCTTGGGGTGTTGGAGGATGGAACCAAGTTGGCTATAAAGCGAGGAAACCCAAGTTCGGAGCAGGGGATCAATGAATTCAAGACTGAGATCGAAATGCTCTCCAAGCTCAGGCACCGCCACCTTGTTTCGTTGATCGGGTTCTGTGATGAGCAATCAGAGATGATTCTCGTATATGAGTACATGGCTAATGGTCCGCTTCGCGACCATCTATATGGCTCAAATCTCCCTCCTTTGTCATGGAAGCAAAGGCTTGAAATCTGCATTGGCGCTGCCCGTGGCCTGCACTATCTCCACACCGGCGCAGCACAGGGCATAATTCACCGCGATGTGAAGACAACAAATATCCTGCTCGATGACAATTTCGTTGCGAAAGTTGCTGATTTTGGCTTGTCAAAGGCTGCACCATCATTGGACAAAACACATGTGAGCACAGCAGTGAAGGGCAGTTTTGGATATCTTGATCCCGAGTACTTCAGAAGGCAACAACTCACAGAGAAATCGGATGTTTACTCATTTGGGGTGGTTCTGTTTGAGGCCTTATGTGCAAGGACGGTTATAGATCCTAAGCTGCCAAGAGAACAAGTGAGCTTGGCTGAGTGGGCAATGCATTGGCACAGAAAGGGAATGATTGAGAAGATCATTGATCCTCACATTGCTAGCAACATCAACGGCGAATCGCTTAAGAAGTTCTTGGAAGCGGCGGAGAAATGTCTCACGGAGTATGGCGTCGATAGGCCTTCCATGGGAGATGTGCTGTGGAATTTGGAGTATTCTTTGCAGCTTCAAGAGGCAGCGTCAATGCAGGTAGAAGACAAGAGTGAATGCATGATAATTGGGATGGAGAAACAAAGTAATGGGATTGACTCAAAAGAAGGACTTGATTTTGAGATCGCTGATGATTCTAGTGTAACAGTTGAGGGCTCTTCTTTGTTCTCTCAAATGGGTCATTTTCAGGGAAGATGATTGATTGATTGATTGATTGATTGATTGATCCCTGGCTGTGATCATGATATAATTTCCAAGTTTGTGAATTTGGTGATGGTTTAGTATTTGTGTGATTGAACTCAAAACATGATATGAACATGGAAATTTCACTTCTAGAACTAGTGATGATTCTCATGTTTATTACATGTATTTCCATAGTCTCAATTGAACGTACCTTTTCCATTCTGCATTGCATTTTGTCTTGTTTGCAAATTCAAATAGTTTACCTTGGGAAAATTTGCAAATTCATATTCGTGGTTGCATCTCTGGTACACATGGGAACAAAAGGTAATATCTATGCTTGGAGGTTTTGTCATTGTTGGACATCCTAGAGTTTTTCATTTGTGGAAGTAAATTTTCTTTAACTTGCGAAGACTTTTTATTTTTATTTTCAATTAAATTATTTTCCTTGTTCAAAGACAAAATATATATATATATATATATATATATATAAAAAAAAAAGGACGATACAAAGGCTTAGTTTGGTATTGTTTTTCGCTTCCAAAATCAGCTTCTGCTTGTAACAAAAGCTGATTTTAGTGTTTGGTAAATTTTCTCAACAGTGCTTTTTGAAGAATTTTTGAAGAATCTACAACCAAAATTAGCAGCCTAAAGACAACTTTAGCTTTTAGATTGTACGGGAATCAACATAGTACAATTAATAAAATTTTCATAATACCCCTAATGAAATTTAAAATTTACAACATTCTCAATCTAAAATTCAAACTCGTAATATAATATAATATAATAATACAATAATATAATATAATATAATATAATAGTAATATTGTAAAAAATAATATCATAATTATATTAATAACTATAATATTATTATTTTATCATATAATATGATATTATAATAATATTATAATTATTTTAATAATATGATATTATAATTATAATATGATATTGTAATTATTATTTTATAACATATTATATATTATATTGTATTGATATAATTAAACTTATTATATTAATAATATTACAATAATATTATTACATTATATTATATTGATATAATTATATTTATTATAATATGATAATATAATTATAGGCAAGGTCTGAAATTGGTAACTGAAGAAGACTTTTTCCTTTTTGTGTTTGCCTTTTGGCCTATATTAGAGTCTAGCATTAATTAATTACCATTAATTTCTTGCCAACAGTAGTGTTACTAAGTGGTGTATATGTTAGAAATCACCAAAACTTATTATAGCAACATACTTTTAATTCTGTAGTCGTAATTTCTGTTTGTCATATTTATGGGTAATCTATTTGTATGATTGTATAGCATCACTAGATCTATAGTAATAAACATAATAATATATTTTTTATTATATTAAATATAATAATAAATATATATTATATTGTAATTATATATATATATATATTATATTCTAGTATAATATAATATAGTCGTAATTTTTAACTATCTACAGCAAATCAACCTCATAATTTACCAAACGTTATTACATTGATTTTGGAACCAGCACAGCTACTATAATTATAGTTTACTAAACACTCAGCTGTTTTTTGTAACAACTGCTTTTTCTTTTAGTACAATTAAAAGTAATTTTTCTAAAATCTACAGCAATACCAAACTGTAACGACCTCAAGAATTAAATAGGTTTAATTATGTTAATTGTGATTTATTAGTGTGTCTAACTTAATTTTCTTTAATTAATCAAGAAATTTTAAATTATTTTTAATATTTACAATTCCATCCTTTTCTTTTAACAATCTTTTAATATTGCCCTTTCTTTTCTCTATGTTCTCTTTTCTTTTCTTTCCTTTCCTTGTTTTTTTCTCACTCTCTCTCGTTCACTCTCCTTCTCTCAACTTTCTCTTTCTCTCGTCTCTCTCTCTTTCTCCTGCTGGCTCTCTCTTTCTCTTCTCCTTTCTTTCTCAGATCTCTCAGCTCTCTCTCTCTCGCTACCCTCACTCTCCCTCCCTTTCTCTCAAAGTTTTCCCTCTCTCTAAGAAGTTTTGAACCGGATCTAAACCAAAAAGAGGATTTTCAAGAAGTTTTCAACCCCAAAGTAAAGATCAAGGTAAATATTTGAAAACTCACTCTTAATCGTGGATTTTTCTCTTGGTGATCTGGTTTTTGGTTTGAATTTTGATGAATATTGGTTTAGATTTGATTTTGAATGGATTTTGAATGAAACCATATTAGAATTTGGGGGTTTTTTATTTTTTGAACCCCATTTGATGATTGGAATCTCGTTTTGTTGATTTCTTATGAAAATATCTCAAAATCGAACCTTAAATTGCAGGTTTTGGTGATTTTCTTAGTGATTCAACCATTTTTTCGGTCTGATAGAACCCCACCGGTTGACCGGTCATCACTCTACCGGCCGACCGGTGGAGTGACACTTCTCTGCCACCGGTCGACCGGTGTGCACTTTTCTCAGTCCAATAACATTTCAAAAACCCTGTTTTGACCCCGAAATTCAATGTAGAACCAACTTAAGTTCATTTGAAAACTCAAAGTGAGTAGATTAGCCACTTTAATCCTTGTTTCCATTCTATTTCTCTTGATTGAACTCCAATTCTCAAAAAATCATGATTTGAATTAAGAAATTGTTTATGAACTTTGATTTTAAGTCAAGGCACACTAGTGTGATACAATTTTTCATGATTAAGCTAGGTTGTTTAAATATAAGGATTAAACTCTAAATCATTGTTTTTTATGACGAAGCTAGCGGCACGATTGGACTTGGAGCTTCAAAGACAAGTGGAGCTAGGACTACTTGAAGTTATCCGTAGAATTGACATCCGAGAGGTAGGATGTTCTTGTCCACGTCCTTGTTAGCCTGTTTTAAATGAATTTGGCCTATGAAAATGTTTTAAAGATAAAAACGTATTTGAAATCATTGAAAACTAAAGAAAAGTTTTATATGATATTTTTCATAAAATGAGATATTTTAAGAAATGGTAACAACGTTGATGGCCTAGAGATCAGGATATGGAGATCTTATCCTTGGGTGTTGGACCTGAAACCCAGACGGGCCACTACGGTGGTGATTGTCCTTGCAATGGTCGTAAGTAATTTATCATTAAATTACTTGCTGGTGCCTAAAACCGGTAATTTAAGTTTATTTTCATTTCAGAAAAAGGTTGTTTGGTTCCGAATGATTCGTTCGGACCTGTACTTCCATTTATTTATTCAGTTTTATAAAATTATATCCTATTGGGTCTTTCGTGTACTTTTCTTTATTTTAAATGTAATTTAACCCCTCTCAGACGATGCTAGAAGAAGCACAGAATAGGTGGTGTTTACCGGTGAGGAAATTCCATTCAAGAATAGAGGAAGCTGTGAAGTTTTCCTTCATTTCCATTCATTACTAAGGCATGTATATAAACATTATGGATTGTAAACCTTAAATTCTGTTAGATTATGGTTGATGTCAGTTATTTATATTTTTGTATTTATTTATGTATGTATAATGTGTAAAACCCTGTGGATGCCGGAGACTGACTTTTGAAATTGATTTGACTCTGATTGTTATTTCATAAAGTCTGCCTCACTCTTTCTAAAACTTAATTTCCCTAAAAATAGTGAGGTTTGTTTAGAAATTTATATATATATATATAATCCTTATTTTATTTCTAAATAAGCATGCACGTCATCAACCCTTATTTGGGGCGTGACATACCAAACTAAGTCAAAGTACGTCCTTTTGCAGACGACAGTTATTTAGTCATTTTTCTGCACAAACGACATGAATGTTTTGTTAACCGTAAAGTCTTTTGTTCGACTAAACATAAACGGGTCTACGATAAAGGACATGTCATTTAATGATTTAAAATATAATCAAGAGTAGAAGTTTTAATGGAAAAGCACACAGATACTAACATGTTATTTGACTAGATATGCAATGATTAGAATGTCATTTACCACAACATGTCGTTTATTCGGCTAAAAAGATGTTAAAACCCTGAAAAAGACATGTCGTTGACCTAATAAACGGCAATATAAACGAGAAAGGTTTGCCGTTTATCAACATAATCGAAGGACAAAAAACTTTAAATGGACGGCAATATAAATGAGAAAGGACTTGTCGTTTATCAACTAAATCGAACGACATAAAACTTTAAATGGTTGGATACATCGTCATCTTTTTTTTTTAGATTATTATCCCTAGTGCCGAGAGTCATTCTCTTGTCTCTTAAATTTTAAAAACTCTCACTTTGTTCTATAAATTTTAAATTTGTCCCTTTTAAACCCTTTCGTAAGAATTTCTGTTAAAATTATATATAAAAAGAGGGAGTTAAGTGTGCTCATGTGATTTTGATCCATTTCTTTTTAACATAAATCCAAATAGAAAAGTCACGTAACTGCATTATTCTCTTTTTTTCTATTAATTTTTAACATAAATTACAACAGAAGTGATTAAGTGGGAACAATTCAAAATTTAGAAGTAAAGCGAGAATTTTCAAAAATTCAAAAAACAAACTGAGAGTGACCTTAAAGTTCATGGGCCACCAATGATAAGAATTCTTTTTTTTTTTAGAGCCACATATCGGCTATTGAGCGACATACTATCATTTTTCAAGGGATTTATATTTTACTAGTTGAACTTCATGTGTTCTGTGTGGAGAGTAATTGGTGTGTTAAATTTTGATAGTGTTGTCATTATTTTCATATATTTAATTAATAAAGATAAAGGTCTTAGTTAATTAGTCAATACACAACTAATACAAGAATTTTTATAAGTAATCGCCATTAAAATGACAAGAATTACACAAGAAAAAAATTAAATAAGGACACATCTAAAAAATATATATTTTAATAAGAGCACTCGGAAAAAAAAAAAAAAAAAACTATTTAAAAGAAATGTATTCAGAAAGGATTATATCGTGGAGAATTTTTTGGCATAACTAAAATAAAAAAGTAAAAAAAAAAAAGTACGGGCACATAAGAACAATATTATGTTAAATTTTAAAATCACCTAACATGAAAAAATTATAGATTGAATGTATTAAGAAAATAATAGTTGCAATTAAATAAGACGTAGAGAATACGCTTTTTCAAAATGAAGTTTTAGAAATAAGTCACAATAAAAAGCATTTAAAATATGAATATAACATTTGAAAAGGGAACTTAAATGAAAAGAATAAGGTAAGAAGAAGAAAAGAAGTCCAAAAAAGAAAAAACAAAGATTTTAAGGTAAAAGGAACCAAAATGAAAAAAAAAAAAAAGTTTAGGGCAAAAGACCAAAAAAGTAAAAAATGAACTCAAATAAAAAAAGAAATAAGTTTTGAGGCAAAAAGCAAAAAGAAAGAGTAAAATAAAAGATTGAAAAAAATAGAGAAGGGCAAGAAAGAAGAAGAAAAAAAATGAGCGACTAAAAGACAAAAATAAAAAATAAAAGAGGCTCACAAATAAAAATAAATAAATAAATAAAGAGAGGGTGGGTTTTTCAACCAAAACGTTGAAGTTTTGGTTGAAGTGTACCATGAAAAATAGGACAGTACAAAAAAACCGTAAAACCAAAATCGATCGCAACCGACCGAAGAACCGACTGCTCAAAACGAAAATGGCGGTGCCACGTGAAACCGAACACAATCGGTTCGGTTAACCGACTGATCCCTAGATATTCGGTTCGGTTTCGGTTTTGTTTTGGCTCGTCGGTTAAAACCGAACCGACTGAGGAAATTTTTTTTTTTTATGTTTTCATTTTTTTTTTTAAATTTTATGTTGTCGTTTCTGAAGAGTGGATGTCGTTTTTACTCTTAGGAATCACAAAACTCAAAATTGAACCATCTTTCTCTCAGTCTCTCTTCTGCCTCTCGCTGTCTCTCACTCTCTCACTCTCTCACTCTCTCACCCCAGACAGACACCCCCCACCCACCCGGCACCCACACGACCACCCACCCTCACGCCTCACCTCTCTCACTCTCACCCACCCTCACGGAAGCCCTAGCCGCCGCCTCTCTCCTCAGTCATCCTCAATCGCACGTCCGCCGCCGCTCGCACGTCCGCCTCTCACGGTGAAAGAAGCCCAAGCCGCCAGCCGCCGCTCGCACGTCCGCCAAGCTCCGCCGAGGTTAGGCTTTTGATTCTCCACTTTCTATTTCCATCAATCATGCTTGGGCGATTGTATAGATCTGTTGCGTTTGATTTTGGATTTATATATGCCACAGAATGATTTGTATATGAAAAAAGGTTTCAAGATATGCAGAGCCACCTGATGGTTTTTAATTCTTGTGCTTGTGGAATGGTGTTCTGCTCGGGGTTGTGAGTAATGTTAACCAGGGAGCATTATGTAGATTGTTTTGAGTAGGACGAGAAAGGTGGGGTGGAACTTAGTGTTACACTAAGTAGAGATCAAATGAGTTGTTTCAGTGCTATGTTGAAAGAAAAGCTTGCTGAATCGATTTAGGTTCGTTATTCAGTTTTCAGTGGTTTGGCTTAGCATGGGTGAGGGAGGTTCTTGCAATTGATGTTTCGTGATGTTGATGATTGATGATATATGGCGAGAGAGCAAAAAATGGCCCTAATAAGAATATGTATGGTTTGCTTTGGTTTGGTTTGATTTCTATATTTTTTTTCTCATAGTTTGATTTCTATATTTTTTTTCGCCCGCTCCTTGGTGTTGTGTTTGTCTGAGAGAAAGAAGCAGAAAGTGCTGTTGCTTCTAATGGGGGTGGTTGCAAACATTATTCTAGTTTATCCCAAGTAGCTTTACACAATACTTTTCCTTTAGTTTATGGGAATGAAAGCTGATCCAAGAGATCTTACACCATATTTAAATTAATTAATAGAACAATTCTTATCATTATAATATAATGCCTTTACTATGATTAGTCTTTTGCACTTTCCCCACTATTTTAAGCAAAACTTGTATAATTTATGAATCAGTATGCTGTTGGTATGGACATATTTTAACATGTATTTTATAATTCTTTTGTTATTGTTCAATGTTTGTGATCTAACTAATGTTTCCAAAGCAATCCTATCATGGGATTTTTTTTCTTTTTTTTTAAATATTATTATGATTCTCTTTGCATGTTCTTATTATTATAATCCTATTATTATGATTCTCTAGACTCCTCTAAGCATGTTCTTACCCTCCAAAAAAAAAAGGAAAAAAATACTCCTCTAAGCATGGGGTCCTGTCCTTAAAAACCACAGAGAGAGAGAGACGGGAATTTCTGAGAATTCAGAACTTTGACCAGGTATACAAGAAAAAATGGCCCTAAAAAAAAAGACGTGATATTGATTCTAAAATGAAAAATGTTTATGTTTTTTAAGTTTGGAAGGGAAAGGATTTCAAGTTGTATAAATGAAACCAGTAAGGTTTCAACCGGTAGTGTTTATTTCTTATTGTTCAAGTTGCCTTCTTTGGATTTAATGCATTGTGTACAATTGGAGTCTCCATATCCTCTCTCTCTCTTTTCCTCTCTCTTATTAGTAAAAGCATTGTGTACAATTTGAAAAATCTCATGTAGTGAAAGCATGTTGTTTGTGATTGTTTAACTTTTAGCTTAATTCTTTTAGATGTCTTCATCGGAAAAGCAAAAAGAGATAGAGTCTCAATCTAGTAAAAAAGAAACCGAAACTACTGAAACACAAGAGACAACTGAGGAAGAAGGGAAATGTACTAAGAAAAGGAAGAAAAGCCCGACAAGTAAGCCCGGTTTGGCAGCATTTCACGAGGGACGAAAAAACCAAGAGGGCTACTTGCAAGCATTATGGTGTCACTTATAAGAGAGCCGTTTCGGAGTATATCATATTGGATGAGTTACCGTTCCGACTCGTGGAAGGTAAAGGGTTTAAGCGCTATTCGGCGTACTTGAATCCTAGAGTGCTTGACATTTCAAGGATAACAATTGCGAGGGATGTTTATCAAATGTTTTTGGAGGAGAAAAAGAAGGTGAAGAAGGTTTTAGGAAAGCAACGAGTGTGTTTGACGACTGATACTTGGACATCAATTCAGAACATCAATTACATGTGTTTGACCGCACATTGGATCAATGAAGATTGGAATATGCAGAAAATGATCATTAATTTCATCCAAGTTCCGAATCATAAAGGAGAAACAGTTGCATATGAGATTTTGGTTTGCCTTAATGATTGGGGCATAACTGCATTGTTCACAGTTACAGTGGACAATGCATCGTCCAATGATGTGGCTATGGACAGGTTGAAGAGAAAAGTCAAAGATATTCCTAATTTTCTCGTCTTAGATGGCCAGATGATACATATGCGGTGTGTCTGTCACATTCTAAACTTGATTGTTAATGATGGGCTCACGGACTTAGCATATTCTATTGCAAGCATCCACAATGCAGTTAGGTATGTGAGGTCCTCACCTCAACGCCTCAAGAAGTTTAAGGAGTGCATGAAGGAAGAAAACATCAACTCAACTGCCCTATTGTGTTTGGATGTGAAGACGAGGTGGAACTCTACCTATCTAATGTTGGAGACTTCTTTCAAGTTTGTCCCCGTTTTTGAGAGGCTGCTTTTGGATCAAAACTATTGTGCTTACTTTGATGAAGTTATAAAAGACAAAAAGATGGAGGGTTTACCAAATGGACGGATTGTGACAATGCACGTGTTTTTTTGAGGTTCTTAGGTAAGTTTTACACTTTGACGAAGAAGTTTAGTGGTTCATATTATGTCACTTCAAACTTCTATTTCAAAGATATTTGTGCTGTCAAACGAGAGTTGATTAAGTTAGAGGAGTGTGATGATCCTATGTTGAATGAAATGGCAATGATGATGAATAAGAAATTTGATAAGTATTGGGGAAATGTCGAGAAAATGAATCACATGATGTTTCTTGGCTTAGTTCTTCATCCAAGATATAAGTTGGATTATCTTACTCTTGCCTTCAAGTGTATCTACAATGATTCGACACCTCCTCCACCTTTGGCTCCCCCTCGCAGCACGAAACTTATTCTGGTTGTAATTCAAGTCCTTCAACAATTACGACATCTAATGAGCCCGCCTCAATGCCGGTTATTGATGATGAGATAGAGGCCATGTTTAGAAAGTAAAAGATGAGTGGGAATAGTGCAAATGTGCAGAAGAATGATGTGGATAAGTATTTATCTGAGCAATGGGAAGAGCTAGTGGATGATAGTTTTAACATCATAGGTTGATGGAAAGTAAATGCTCGTATAAGGTCTTGTCCCAAATTGCTAGAGATGTGCTTGCAGTTCCGGTTTCGACGGTTGCATCTGAATCAGCTTTTTCTACCGGTCTTCGTATTCTTGATCCTTTTAGGAGTTCATTGGCTCCCAGGATGGTAGAAGCACTTATTTGCTTAAAAAGTTGGTTGAACGCGAAGGATGAAGAATATGAACCCGTGGTTCTTAGGCAATATATGGATGAGGTTGAATCTTTTGCAGATTGCTATCATGTTGTCTCAGATAATGCTAATCATGATTGTACATACTACACATACTTGATATAATTATATCTTTTTTATTCATTTCATGACATATGTAAATTAATTTATAATTTTCTTGTAGATGATGGTGAGGTTGTTTCTACCCCAACGTGTTCAAAGGACGGAAGCTCTCAAGTAAATGATGCGGAATCTTCTAAAAGACCCAAGTAAGATAATTATAATTATATCTATTTCTTATTTTTTTCTCATTATCTATTCAATTTCATTTACTTAATTCTAATTTTCTATTGTAGCGATACATATGAAGATATAATGGATTTGGATTTGGATTCGGATGAAGGGGAATAGGAGGTTTATGAGAAATTGGAAATGAACTTTACTATGCTTTTTAATTATGCTTTGGACTTCTTAATTTCTTATGCTAAGTTAATATTTTTTACACTTTGAACATTAGTATTGTTTGTTGTAACTTTCAAATTTCTAGTTTGTACTTTAGATTTTGGACATTGGATTTGGATATTTTGTGTTTGTGGTATTATCAATTTGGATGTTGTGCTTTGTATTCATTTATTGTGATTACATGCTTGCATACAAGGAATGTTTTACATTTTTTCACAATTTTTGGTCAAAAAATGCAACTAAATATGCGGGTAACCTGATAGTTAACTGATAGTCACCATCCAGATTACCAAAATTGAAAACCGATCGAAACTGACCGAAAACCAAAAATTTGGTTAACCGAACCGAATTGTAATTTTACGGTTCAGTTTCGGTTCTCGGTTTCTAAAAACTGACATGGTCGGTTCGGCCACCGAACCGACCAAAACTGACGGTTTTTAACTGCCTAACACCCCTAGTGGAAAGTACACTTTAACACTTCTATATATATTGACTACCCAGCTATACATGTAAGACAAACCTTAACATATACATAATAATTATTCCAAAAACCGCCTATAATAAGATAATGCTACCTTTAATGGAAAATAAAAAGAAAATGAAATCCTTTTTTTTTCTAATTTTTTCTAAACTATAAAAAAACAAAAAAAATTGCATAATTTATCTTTTTAGAGTATACAAGTCTAAAATTTTACTTATCGTTCTTAATTAATACCCTTTTGTTAGTATATTTATATGATTAAAAAAGTTATTAATCAAGACTAAGGAGTAAAAATCGTGACCCATGCACTTTTAAGGATATATGTCTCCTTTCCCCAATTAAACACAAACTCTTAATTTGGTAACAAAATGGCTAACATATTCCCTACCTTCTAAGATAAAATTATTTTGATACTCTCTATTATTGAAAAATATCTCCTTATTATCTTGTGTGTTTTAATAATATTAAAACGGTATTTTTTACTTTTAAAGAAATATTTTTTTTTACTCTAAGACCGCTTTTTGTAATATAAAATGTTCTTACTAATTAACAATAAATTAATAATTTAAAGAAAATCCTAAAAATACTTTAGAACATTTAAAAAGTAAAAAGTTACAATAAGTTAAAATGTTTTCATAAAGGATTTTTAAATTATTAATTTCTATTTAATTAATGAAAATGGCAGTTTAGATATTGTATGTTTTTAAAACCCGTTTTAGTGTACCAAATTAAGAATGTTTCTTTAAAGGTAAAGATATCATTTTAATATTATTAAAAAATACAAAATACTAATGAGATGTTTAATGTAACAAAAGGTACCAAAATAATTTTATCCCCTGACTTATTGACGAAGTCCCCAGCCCCATGTACTGCTCACGTGATTGCAAATGGAAGGCAATTCGTTTCAAGCCATGTTGATCAATTGTCATTAGAGAGAAAACTAAAGGCTACTTGAAAATAGTAAAAAGAAAGAAAAAATAGATTTTTTGATATGTTTGGTATACCGATAGGTCAGGTTTTTCTAACCGTTAAATTTGCGTTCTTTTTTACTTTTATGTGATTTTGTACAGATCTAACAGATAAAATTGGTATGTTGGCATATTAAAAAGGATCCCAAAAAAAATAAAAAAGAATAAAGTAATTCAGCAATTCGTCTATATCCACAAATCAAAGACATTGTTTTATTTTGTGAAGTGCAAACCTTAAAAGTGAATTAAACTCCCTTCTAAAAAAAAAAAAAAAGTGAACTAATTAAAGTCAACTAGAAACTTGATTAATTTAGATTAAAAAATATACAAACAATTAACTACGAAAATAATAGTGGCGTATTATTTTAATTTAAAACTTAAGTTTTAACTCTTGTCCTATGAAAAAGTTCTTGTCTCTGCCACTGCTAACACGACTCAAATTGCTTATTTACTTTTGCTTTCAGTTTTACTTACTGGATACCTTATCAAATTAGGAGTTTTATCAGTAGGTTATCTGACTGATAGGACTAGTTTTTTTTATCATTGAATCTAATTAAAATTAAATTATATTAAAAAAGTATGCATAGCAGACTTTTTTTGATAGAAATTTGATGATTAAAAAAAAAAATTACCGATAATTTATTTTTTCTGATCCTATAAAAAAAAGTCACTATCAAATTTTATAACTGAAAGGTGAACAACTCAATGTATACCTAAAGTTACTAAAAGATGTACAATTCAAATTAGATTGGCACGTTGAGTAGTCTACGCCCAGGTTCTTAACACTTGCTATTATCATATGGTAAGGCTTTCGTGCGGATAATGTGCCTAGATGCGTAGATAATTAAATTGGCCAATAAATTATACTTATCCAAATGGTTAAACAGCAGTCTCACTAATTTTGTCCTCCATCAGAAGCAAACATTATTGCTTTTGGTGAGTAAACCAAAAATTATGTTGATGCAGTATTTTTTTCAGAGCGAAAAAAAAAAAAGAAAACACCAAAAACTATGTAAGATATTAATTAGCCCATGTAGTGTCTCATAGGATATGCTTGCCAATAACCCACGCATTGCTACAGAAAATATTGTTGTATTATATAAAAAGTTAAAAAATTTTATAGTATAGGATTAATTTATATATACATATAAATATATTTATATAATATTTACAATATATTATAACTTTTGTTTTCTTTTTTTCTTCTGTTTTTCTTAGCTGCAAAATATAAATTTTAAAAAAATTAATAATAATAATTAAGGAAGTTAAAAGTTTACATTAGTGTTGCTAATGCTGGTAGGAACTCAATTTTTTTATTTTGGTGGGAAAATATGTGTATGTAAAAGTAAAAATAATTACATGAAAAGGTAATAAAATTTTTTAAATATGATGTAAAACATGCACTTCGTGCGCGTGACTCATTTAAAATAGCGGTTATACGAATCATCAAGAATTAAAAAAAGATGACGAAAAAGAAAGGATAGAAGAATAGCAATAATTAATATATTATCATTAATGACTACATTAGTGACACGGGAGAGCTTTTGGCCCCTCGTGCTCTTCATGCGCCTATCACAGCCGTTAATAATTCACAAAAGTAATTTTTAGTTTAACTTACTTAAGAAGGTGCAACTTTATTTTATTTTAGTGTATTTTTATTTAAGGGTAAATTGTACAAATGATCCCAAACTCTTTAAAAGGTGATAGTTTGGTCCTCAAACTTTTTTTTTGACGAAACGAATCTCAAACTATTTAAAAGGGTGCAATCTAGTCATTTCCGTTAGATATTGTCCAAAAAGTAACGGCATAATAACATAAAAGGGTGACATTATGCTCCCTTACTTCTTTATGAAGTGATTTTTTTAGTCTCAATCAACTTTAATAGGTTAAAATTTGGTCCCTATTTTTGAACGGCATTTAACGGAAAGGACGACATGCACCCTTTTAAATAATTTGCTACTCGTTTTGTCAAAAAATAAATTTAAGGACCAAACTGTCACCTTTTGACAAGTTTGAGGACCATTCGTGCCAATTACCCTTTATTTAATTTTATTTTTCATTCAAATTATTTATATTATTTTCATTTGAGAGGCTTTGAAAATCTGGGGTAAAATAATATTAAAATGGATAAAATCGGACCACAAATCAACACCTTTCTTTTCCAATTTTTTTCTTTTTTAGTCTTTGTTTAGTTTTAATCTTAAACGTGCGCACGTGATTAATTTAAAATAATGGCTAACACAAATTGTTAAAAAAAAGAGAAGTAAACATAAAAGAAATGAAAATAATAACGGGAAAAATCTTAAACAAAGAGAGAGAGAAAAACTAATTTAACGTATTTCATTGTGTTTTAAATTAATTCTATTTTATTTTGTTTAATTTTTTATTTAATTGATGTGATTTTATTTTACTTTAGCATATTTTATTTAATCTTACTATATTTTTATCTGAGTAATATTACAAATTTAGCACAAAATGGTGGTGAAACAGACAAATTAGACTCCAAATCAATTTAAAATAATAATAAATATAATAAACAATAAAAAATAAAAAAATAAACTAGAAATGCTCTAAAATGGTCTGATAAAAAATTTTGATGGCTCAAATTCGCACGTGAGAAGCATGCGCAAGTGAGGAGCGTTCAACAAGAGTGGGTAGCTGCGCAGTGGTGGGCCCCGCCACTTTCTCCTTCGGCCGGCTGAGAGTCGACACGTGACAACCTCTATGCGAAAGACTCGAAAGTCTCTGCCCAGGAAAGAGAAAAGAGAAGGAAAAGAAGGGCAAACTTGGCAATTCAATTGCCAGAGGTGGGCCTGGCCACTTTCTCCTTCAGCCAACCGATAGTCGACACATGACAACCTCGATGTGAAAGACTCAAAAATCCCGCCGAAGAAAGAGAAAAGAGAGAAAAAATGAGCAAATTTGGCAATTCAAAATTAATGGACAAAATGAAGATTTGGGGAATTTTACTGTACAACGTACAGTAAAATAAAAAATGTGAGTCTGTGAACAGTGTTCCATGCCTTCTTTTTAGTATATTTATAATGTGGCTTCTTCTAATTTTCGACCTTTTTGTGGTCACGTACATTTAATTGTATTGATGCAAGAGCTCATAATTCCTTGGTGCATGCTTGAGAGTTTCAACTTATCCATTTATTTTATTTAATTTATTGTAATCTTGGATTACTGTGGTACTGGATAGTATATAAAGCCTAAACGTCTTATACCCGTATAATTAAACAGAATTGGATTATAATATAATTCATGACTGGTGACAAGTATTATATTGACTCTCCTATTGAAAAATCAAATGAAAATAGATATTGCCAAATAATTCAGAAAAAAGCTTTGCTGTCTTACTTAATTAGATAGTGATCAACAAAAAAAAAAAAAAAAAATTGATTACTCACAAAAATTTCCTAGCCCCATCTAGCTATGACAGATCACTAACCATAGAGATGGGAATCATCCAAAATTAATATATTGAGGCCTTCATTTTCAAAAGGTAGTTGGATTTGCATTAACTTTGCTGTGTTAATCATCTCATCCAATCAAGTATATAAACCCCATTTCGAATTCTCAAATTCACCAATAATCTTAAATAAATACACATCTTAACATATATAGTATCAGAGCACAATATAATCAGCTAGCAAAGATGAATACCAATTACTCTAGAGTTCTTCTTCTCTTTACACTATCTCTTGTTTTTGCTACTTCCATGATTTCCACCACTAATTCTAGGAAGCTTTTGTGGTTCAATTTTGTCCCTCCATTACAGCCCGGAATCCCTGGATTTTATCCCGGAATCACACCCGGATATCCGCAATATCCCATCGGATCCGGCGTAATTCCTGGAATTATTCCAGCAAGGGACAGCGTTGTTGGTCCTGAACAAGCAGCATCGCCATGAATATATCATAAATCACAATTACACAACTTCCTACTGCATGAACATAAATATATAGGTTAATTATAATAAGTTCATGCACATGTATTTTGTATATATATACTAGTATTTCGATATGCTATCTTATACATGTAGGATATATATATATATAATATCCTCCAGGTCGTTAGTTTTTAAGTTAGGCTTTATGTTATAAAAATGAAGGGTATGTGTAATAATAGTTTATACGTCTCCAGATCTAGCTATATATATGCAATATGTATGTACTTATATGCATATTTCAAAATAAAAACGTACGGTGCCATGTAACGCTCTGTAATATGGACTTCATATTATAATTATGAATAAAAGTGTTTATCAGTTGGTTTAGTTCTACTGTCAGTAACGAAGAGTATGGTTCTTTTCCATATATGTTTTTGTTTCTCATCGACCATCATCGTCAATATGTATTCTGATGTTTCTGTGATGGTTATATATATATATATATATATATATATATCAAATATAAAAATTTGATTATGTGATGAGAATTCAATCTCATTAATTTTTTTGTGAATGATCTAATTTATTATAATTATTGGATTAATATTTTACGATTTTAGTTTATGTGTTTTATATTTATATTTAATTAATATTAAATCGATGCTCTTAGGTTAGAAAACACCTTTTGAGTACTCCGTCCCCCTTTTTTTAGACTTAATTAGCTTATGATCTTTCATAAAAATAAATATAAAAACACTTAGAAATTGTTCTCTTCAATACCCAAAAAAAAAACAAAAACAAAAAGGCCTTTATGCCTTTTTAAGAATGATGTGGATTTGAAAAATATGTTTTTTAGACGTGATTTAAATTCTCTATAAAATTTAGAAGTCCTTTAACAATTCTATTTTTAGGGACCAAAATGGTTAAAACACGGAAATTTAAAGACTAATCCGTCAATAATTAAAAATTGTGGACTAAAGTGACCCAATTATCATAATTCTAGAACAAACAACACTAATAACGACAATTTCATCAGGAGAAAAAAAAAAAAAAAAACCCTACTACCGGTTGGGAAGCGACAACAAACTTTACAAACAAAAACGACATGCGGTTTTGTCAATTCAAATCTAAAAACAAACAAAAAACAAAAAAAAAAAAGGGTCCTCTTCTTTGAAATGTCAATTACCATCCCTGTAAACGACAACACGATCTTTCACCTTTTCACCTGTTTAAAACAAATCACAGAGAGAGAGAGAGAGAGCGAGAGCGAAGTTTTGGTCGCAACTGGTAATTCTTCATTGCACGATAAATTGAAATTAATTAAAAGCAAAAGACAACGTATTTACTTTTTAATTCTCTTTTGTCAAAGCTTTTTTATTTTCATTTTTCCCGATTGCTTACTACAGAACAGCTTCTTCTTCTTCTTCTTCTTCTTCTTCTTCTTCTTCTTACCAGTAGAATTGAAGCTCTCAAAAATGGTGTTGGACGGCTTTCCGCAAGACCCAAACGACAGAGAAGAGATCAAGCCCTGGACAATGGTGGTGATCCGAGACTCCGTCCCCAAAACTGAATTCTCCGTCTTCCCTCCGATCAACCACGAAAATCTCCACCTTTCTTCACGCAGTAACCATGAGAAAGAAGACCCATTTTCACCGCCCTTCTCGTTGTCTCCTTCTTCCTCTTTGGCGTCTTCGTCCTCGTTTTCGTCGTTCTCGCCGTCGGACTCGGATCTGTCCGACCCGGATTCGCCGGTGGCGTCCGAATCTCTGCTCAAGAGAAGCGGCGAGGTCGGTCGGTGGTGGGTGGGGATTGGGCTTGAGGTGTTGAGGGCGAGGGTTCTGAGGCTTGTTTCGTCGTTTGGAGGCAACGGTGTCGTTTGGTGGAAAGCTTCGTGCTTTGCCGCCGGCGCGGGAATTGCGGCGGCGGTGATGCTCTGGTCGTTCTACGTTAGGGCTCGGCACCGAAAGAGGGTGAAGAATTTGAAGGCCGTTGTGAGAGAGAAGAACGAGGTTAGTTGTTGTTGTTTTTTTATTTTTTTATTTTTTTGGGGCGTGATTGATTAGTCACTTGTCTGATTGAGTTCTTGATGTTTGTGCAAATGCCTGTGAGAAAATATAATAGTTGATCTTGATGATATTGTTTTGTCTATGCATTTTACAAAAAGGATAATAATTGTTCTGTTTAAGGCTCACAATTTGCGTAATAATTTTGGCGGGGAACTATATCCTGTGTTTGCCTTAATTATTTGAAATGAATATTTGGTTGAAAAAAAAAAAAAAAAAAAAAAAAGGGGGGGGGGGGGGATCAACCGAAATTGATCAACCGTAATTATCTTCAAAGGTATGTATGAAGAAATAACTTCTTACATTGGGAGAAGTCGAACATTGAGTTAGTAGCCTGAAAATGGTCTCGAGGACACAAATCTGAGACCTCCCATCTACCAAACTACGCGGCAGTGTAAGCCTAATGTCAGTAGGCTACGAACTCGCTGTTAATTATTTGAAAGGATTAATGCTAGATTAAGTTAAATAAAAGGTTTAAATTGAAGAATATTTTGGTGCTGGGCATTGAGAATCAGAATTATGTTTTCTGGACCCTGTTTTTGATTTGTCATTGTTAGCTCAAGCACATTGGCATTTTTTTCTGTTATCATTACTGTGTCTTCTTCTCTTATAATGTCTTTGCACTAAACATTGCATTGGTCATTTGCAGAAAATCAACCAACTACTGCACCAGATTGCTCAGCTGAATGAAGTGCTGATAGCCCGCCACAGAGTTCTGGCTTCAAAAGTACCCAATTGAAAACCATTGCGTCTCACTGAAAAGTTAGCTTAGTAGTCAAGGAAACAATTTTTTGTAGCAGTGTATGAGTTACTATTACAAACTTGGAGTTGAAAGAACTAAAGGCCCGTTTCGCAAATGTATTTAAACCCGTGATTCTGATTCTGTTATAATTTGAATTTAAAAATTTCCCATCACTAGTTCTCTCAGAAAGGTCCCGTCAATTGAATCAGAATTACTAACTTGAATGTGTGAACCGACTAAGCGACTTTTGATATAGACAAAGTTATCATTTTATTTGATCCTCAAATCCCTATGATCAATGGTGAAATGATTGAGCTCTGTAGACTGCGAGTACTTTGCATTGGATTGTTTGGCTTAAACAAAGAGCTGGCACTAAAGATTTGGGTCTGTTCATTTCACCGATTCGAGTTTAGAATTTAAAGTTTACTACAGTAAAACTAAAAAACAATTACATCTAATTTTTTTACTATAGTAAAAAGTTTTCACATAAAGTCACATCCCAACTCAAATTAAAAACTCAAATCAGTTAATTAAACGGGCCCCGGGGAATATGTGGGTTGTAGAAATAAGATTTTTCATAATGTTATTCTTGTAATTCATTATGTTCAAGTCGATTTGTTTGTAACTACTGTTTGGTCTATGTTTGGGACTAAACTTTGTGCGTGCTTTAGTTATGGGATACCCAATACTATTCTTTTTCAAAACCTTCTGCTCATCTTTATTTTTGTCTGATGATTTTTTGTTGTATTCGTAGTAATTAGCAAAGTTTATTTCGTAGTATTTAGTTGAAAAAGTGTCATGCGCTGAATTGTATCTTTCAGAGTATGGTGAAGACTGATTCTAACGCTATTTTGTTTGTTGTGCCTTGTTTTGTTCCTCGTAAAGGGAGAGAAAGATGTTATTCAGACTCACAATGTTGTTCTTTGTTAATTACCACGAAATAAGAATCGTATTATGCTATTTATCACCAATGGTCATCATCACTGTTTTCTTTTCTTCTCTCTTTTTTTTTTTTTTTTTTTTTTTTTTCCCTTT